AAATATGTAATGGACTCAGACCAGAATTTGGAAAAGGAACTCCTGAAATTTATAAGAAATTAGCTCATAGATGTATGGATGCTAATCCAAATCAAAGACCAACAGCCAATGAATTATATGAAATATTATATTGTTGGTATCATTATAATGATGATGAAAAATATGGTTATAAAGGAAAAGAAGTTAAAGCTGTATTTGATGAAGCTGATAAAGAGATACCAAATATTTCAGCCTTGTATGAAAAAGATCCTGATGCTATTTACACTAGTAGAGCATTTACATTTAAAAATTTATCAAAACCTATTAATTCATCTTTTATTGTTACAACATATCTTAATGAAGAAGATAATGATGGTATTGTATTATATATTATTTTGTATAAATTTTATAAAATAATTAAGATAATATTCATTATAATAGGTTGTCAGGATTCTCAGTTAGTTGACTTAGAGATTTCTAGTTCATTAAAATTAAAGGGTGAGTATAACTTATTACCTTTATCTATTTTTAATGATGTAGAATAAACTTAATAATTTTTAAATAATAGATGATGATGTTGTCAACTAAACGAATCAAATTCGAAATCTTATACTCAAATATTGTTTTTTATACTATCCTAAGGTATTATGTGGATTTTTTTTTTAATAAATATTTTATATACGTAATATTGTAAAGGAAAAATCTACTTTCATGGCTTTGTAATTAGTTGTTTTTATTTCTATTGCTATTTTCTCACTTTTAGTTTGTTCAATAACTCATTTCTTCGAGTCATCTTGTTTAAAATAATAAAATAACAAATAAATAATAACTTTTTAAATAATAAATTTGGATTTTTACAAAAATTAATACAATAAACCTTTTATTGCAAACTTTATTAATAACAAAGATAATTTAGATCTACTTTATTTATCAAATATCCTATGACCACTCGATAGTAAGAAATAGTTTACCAAAATACAACTAAGAATCAAGTGCATCTTATATCTTTATATAATAATAATTCTATTATATGAATATATCTTATTATCATCTTGAAATAAAAAATCATAAATTATATGATATTTTTTTTTGTACCGAAACTTATTTCACTTTAATTAGGGATGGAATGACTCACTCGGTCCGGTTCAGTTCTGAACTGGTACTGTTGAAAAATTTGTCAACAATAATTTTTTTTTTTAACCATTATTTTATTAATAAAAATATTTTTGTAAAAAAAATTCAAATAATATTTTTCTTTTTTTTCTTGTAGAATATCGAAAGCATAAAAAACATATTAATCCAGAAAACGAATATGATAGTTTGGTTGTCAGTTGGTTATGTCAAAGTTCAGATGGAACCCAGAACCAGAAATCCTAATTCGGCCCGGACCCAGGTCTGGATTTGGGCCGGCAAGCTTTCTTCAAAATTCAGCCAGGCCAGGTACGGGCTGGCACATGATTTTTAGTTAAACCTCGATTTTCGTAATTCTGGCCAAAATGATCTTAATTCCGGTCAAAATTAAACAGGCCAAAATTAAGTTGGTCGATTTTTTTGTTTTTGCAACAAAATGATATAATAATAGTCCAGATCCAGCCCGGACTGGGCCGGGTTGTAAAATAGGGGTCAATAATGCAGACCTTCAATTCTCCAGAATCATTTCAGGGAGTATCTAAAGAAAAATTCAAACCATTTTTTGACGTTATGTTGGAATTACAATAAACATTATCGGATCTTTAATGTATAATATTAAAATATAATCATAAGGTTAATCACAATTTTGGTAATTTTGAAATGCTTTATTGTTTAATAGAATTCCCCTTAAGTACATCATCTTACGAAATATTTATAAATTATAGGAATGAAAATGTTAGTAAAATTAAGTAATTAAGTAATCATTGGTTTTTTTTTAAAAAATAAAATTTTAATATTTTTTTCACGAATCATCTATTACCTAAAATATCAAGTATCCTGTAACGGGGAATATAATATATATGGCATTCGGCCGTGTAAATTGTGATAACTCAAATGATCGGGAAATAATCTTTAATTTTAAGCGGAAAAGTTTTAAAAGTTACAGTAATTAGTATGAGCAAGAAATTTTTTCTGGAGGAAGTGTCTAAAGTGCTATAATAAAATTTTCATCTGCTGAAACGAGAATCATACAAATATGGGAATTGCGTTTTGTTTGTAGTATTTATTTTGTAATTAGTAATAAATGATCTATTCACTTTTTCGACAATTCCGATGATCGTCATACCGCAGAAAAATGATTTATATCGGCTAAATTTATGCTGATTCTTTTTTATCCTCATTGAGTAGATTTGCATATTTAATTGGTACAGGTACAGAGTTGCACAGCAGGTACAATTCAACGAATATTTATGTATTAGGTAACACTAAATTTTTTTTTATGCCCGTGGAATTCTTTTTCAAACAAATTTGAGACAAACTTACTTCTAACAGAATTATATTATAAAAATGAGCTTCATTAAAAAATTATCCAAATTTATTAATAAATTAAATATTTCTGATAAAGATTCTAATTCCGTAAAAATTAATCATGAAAATTGTTATGACCCAGATAATAATAAATTTTGGTGTAAAGAATGTGTTCCTCGTTGCATAATTGAAGGATGGACCAGTGGAAATGATGATATTGATAATTTTATCAAGGATACAATTTATAATTATGATGAAGGTTTTTCATTTCTTGAATGGGTTCCATTTGATAGATTTGAAGATATGAAACAAATAGGTAAAGGCGGATTTGCAAAAGTGTATTCTGCAACTTGGATTGATGGTATAGCAAAATACATTAAACAAGATGATGGAAATTGGATAAAAAGTGAACCTGAATCCAAAAAAGTTGCTTTAAAAATGCTGAATGGATCACAGAATATGTCAGCTGATTTTTTAAATGAGGTATATTTTTTTCACATGTACTTATTTATAATTTTAATAACTATTAAGATTAATTTAATTCATTTTAATTTGTATAATAGCTTAAAACACATCGGAAGTTAAATTGCTTGCAAGAAAGTTCTTTAGAATTTTATGGAATAACTAAAGACCCAGAAACTGAAGAATTTATAATGATTATGCAATATGCAGATGATGGAAATTTGAGAAATATTCTTTCAAGTAATTTTAACAAAATTTTATGGAAGGAGAAACTTAAATATTTATCTTATTCAGCATTGGACCTTAAATATTTACATGAATTAGGATATTTTCATAAAGATTTTCATAGTGGAAATATATTAAGTATTGAGGGATATTCTTATATATCAGATTTTGGATTATCTGGACCATCAAATGAACAAAAATTAGATAATAAAATATATGGTGTGTTGCCATATATTGCTCCAGAAGTTTTAAATGGAGAACCATATACATTATCTTCTTACATTTATAGTTTTGGTGTAATTATGGCTGAATTATCATCTGGAAAACCACCTTTTCATAAAAGAAATCATGATAATAGCTTAGCATTAAAAATATGTAATGGACTCAGACCAGAATTTGGAAAAGGAACTCCTGAAATTTATAAGAAATTAGCTCATAGATGTATGGATGCTAATCCAAATCAAAGACCAACAGCCAATGAATTATATGAAATATTAGATTGTTGGTATCATTATAATGATGATGAAAAATATGGTTATAAAGGAAAAGAAGTTAAAGCTGTATTTGATGAAGCTGATAAAGAGATACCAAATATTTCAGCCTTGTATGAAAAAGATCCTGATGCTATTTACACTAGTAGAGCATTTACATTTAAAAATTTATCAAAACCTATTAATTCATCTTTTATTGTTACAACATATCTTAATGAAGAAGATAATGATGGTATTGTATTATATATTATTTTGTATACATTTTTTAAAATAATTAAGATAATATTCATTATAATAGGTTGTCAGGATTCTCAGTTAGTTGACTTAGAGATTTCTAGTTCATTAAAATTAAAGGGTGAGTATTAACTTATTACCTTCTATTTTACATGATCATGTATAATAAACTAATAATTTTAAATAATAGATGATGATGTTGACAACTAAACGAATCAAATACTCAAATATTGTTTTTTATTTATTTATACTATCTTAAGGATTTTTTTTAATAAATATTTTTATATACGTAATATTGTAAAGGAAAACCTACTTTCATGGCATTGTAATCAGTTATTTTTATTCCTTGCTTTGGTTCTATTGCTATTCTTCTAGTTTGTTCAATAACTCATTTCTTTGAGTTATCTTGTTTAAAATAATAAAATAACAGATAAATAATATCTTTTAGATGTAAATTTTGATTTTCACAAAGAATTAACACGTCGTTTTTTGCAAACTTATTAAGAACAAAAATAATGTTAGATTTATTTTTTTCTATCAAATATTCTATGGCCGCTCGATATTAAGAAGCAGTTTACCAAAGGTTATGGTATTTTACTTATATAAGTATATCCTAAATAAAGAATTATAAATTATATGATATTATTCTCTTTCGTACTGTAGCTCATACTAGTTTGTAAATCATAGAGTTGGTAAAATAACTGAATACGTTTTCTTTTGCATTTTTGTTTTTGCCAATTGCATTATAATCAAATATTTTTCAAAAGACAAATGATAACCGAAACCTTTTTTTTCAGATAAATTTAAATTTTATATGGTATAATTTCTATACCTGTCTCTTATACACATCTAGATGTGTATAAGAGACAATTTCTATACCGTCTAAAAAAATCCATAACAAGTTTTTCATTATTTATTCCTGATAATTTGATTAAATCGTTGATGATATTATAATAAAGCATGATTTTTTTTTTTTTGATATATTTTTATCAATTGGTACAGTATAATAATATTAAAGTATTTGTTTAAAATGGCATTATTTCTTATAGAAATCACAACAATTTTTTTATGAATGCCATAAAAATCGCAAAAAAAAAGCTGAAAAAAAATTCATAAAATAATAATAGTCATTTTAAGTATCTGTTATGCTGCATATGCATATTCGTATAAAAATTACATTTAATAAAAAATTATTTTTATATTTATAATAATAGTGATATGATTTTAGTACATAATTTTGAAGGGTTTATGTCATTTATTCTTTATTCTTTTTTTTTAATGAAAATTGTTTAATTTATATTTTTTATCCTTGTTTAATTTAATAAAATAGGGTATAATTTATTCAATGAATTAGATTACATTTATTTAACATACAATCATTATTTTATTCTTATCAATAAAGTACTCAAAAAAAAAAATCTTTTTAGGTGATTGTTTTCTAAAAAATTGAAAATTTTAAAATAGAAAAAAATCTTCACTCCGATTGATATATTTATAATATTCAATACTTATAATTTTCATATAAAATACTCGAGCGAGACATAAATTTTTGACCATAAAAGTTAAATTACAATTAGCGAAAAATTCATTTATTGGAAAAAATTTGCCATAAACGCATACCGTGTAACTTTGATCGTTCAACATTACGTCTTACTGCGTTAATTTATTTTTATACACAATATATTGATTTATTATAATTTATTTCTGTTAAAATAAAAATATGTTTAAGTTTCTATCAAAAAAAATGCTAAATATAAATTCCTCATATATATTTTGAGTTTAATAAATTATAGCAATTTAAGGTCTGCACAATAAATAACATTTATTACTAATTAATGAATTATTAATTAAAATGTGAATTATATTATAAATTAAAATAAAAAAAAAGAAATTATAAAATTAAAAAAATAAAGTCATGTTAAATCTAAGATCCGCCATCATTAATTTTAAATAATGTATATCAATCTGTAAACAATCTATTAAAGAAAATACAAAATTAATAAATAAAGTCATTTTTTAACACTAAGATCCACCATAACTAATTTTTTAATTTAGTAGTATCAATCTGTAAAGAATCTATTAATAAAATAAATTCATTAGCGCCTTTTTTTTATAACTAATTTGTATATATTTTAAAGTTAATTATGTACCTGATAATCTCACGCTCGTAATCTTATCATCTTGTTCATCATAATAATCATCATAATTTACTGGTTCAGGAAGATTATTAAAATTAAGCAATCTACTTGTATAAGTAGCTTCAGGATGTGTTTCATATGATAAATCAGTTAAAAGTGTATTTCCAGTTGATAAATTATTGTTGTTGATTTCTTCTGCTTCTCTGATTTCACTGTTTAATTCTGATTGATTATTAGTAAGTTCATCATTCCATTTATCCAAAATTTCTATAATTTCTTCTGCCGTTGGTCGATTTAATGAATTTGCATCTAAACATTTTTTAATCAAATTCACAAATGATTTAGGGACCTTAAAATTGAACCTTGGCCTAAGTCCTTGACAAATTTTTATCGCTAAATTTTCATCATGGCTTACATCATGATAAGGAGGTAATCCAGAAATTACTTCATACATAATTATACCAAAACTATAAATATCAGAAGCTTTGGTGTAATTTTGTCCTCTCAAAACTTCAGGAGCAATATAAGGTAAAACACCATATATTTTATTTGATCCAATTTCTGATGCTTTATAATCTGCAGGTTTACATAATCCCATATCAGTTATACTGGAATAATATGGAAACTTTAATACATTACCAATATGTAAATCTCGATGAATTAATTCATTCTTATGAATATTATAAAGTCCAAATGCAATACAATATAAATCATTAATCTTAGTATCCCAACTTAATTTGTCATAGTTTTCATTTAAGTAACTTCGTAAACTTCCATGTTCCGCATAATCTAAAACCATTATATAATTTTTCGTATTTGGATCTTGAGTTATCCCATAAAGTTTAACGATAGAACTACCATAATAAGTGATTTTATGATGTAATGTAATCTTAAATATTAAATGAATGAATAAATGAATGAGTGAGTGAATGAATCAAGTAAATATAAAATTAGTAAATTAATAAAAGTTCAAATTAACTCGCATACCTCATTGATAAAATCTAATGTAATATTTTCTGAATTATTTAAACTTTTCAGAGCTACAAACATATTAGAACCAAGTCTTTTCCAATTTCTGTTTTTATTATTCCAACTATGAATATAACCATCACTCCATTTCGCTTTATATACCATTCCAAACCCTCCTTTTGCAATATATTCAATATCATGAAGCCTATCATATGGTATCCACTCTAATAATTTATGATAACCATTCACTGATAATTGAATATCTTGAATAAATTTATCAATATCATCATTACCGCTAGTCCAATTTTTAAAATCTTGTTGAAAATGTTTTGCATTACAAGAATTACACCATTGATATCCAGTATTTTTTTGATCACATTCTTTACACCTATTAGATCCAGTTCGATTAATTAATCGAAAAATAAGTTTAACAAACTTCATTCACAAATTTAATTTATAATAATGAATAATAAATAACGAAATTTTTTTAACGAAGAAAATTTTTCCATGGGATTGTTAAAAAAATTCTAATTTATGCATTGTAACAAACAATGTGCGACCCTGTTACTGCGCCAAATTGTTTTACAAATTTGATTAATCGATATTCCCGGAAAACATATCACGTGATCGTAAAATGAAGAAAATACTCCGATGACTCAATAATTTCAATGATTCATTAAGACCAATTTATTTGTGGATGTAAAGTAATTTAAGTAATTTTCATATCTTTACATTCTTATTACTTTCTTAAACGTGTTTTATTTATATACTTATTACGTTATTATATGTCGCACAAAATTGATATAATTATAAACTTCGTGCCATGTAACCTAATGGCTAATTGATTAGAAAGTCTTTTTTTTTTGTTTTTAAAAAAAAAATGACATTAACTAATCTTTCAATGATTACAACGTTATAATTCAAGTTGGTGAAAATCAAAATACAAAAGAATTTCGTTATTTTACGTGCCCGCTCTTCATAATTAAAAAAAGGGTTCTTTTTGCTAGCAAAATGACAAAAAAAAAATGATTCACAAAAAAAAAATCTGGTGTAAAAATATTAAAAATTCATGTAAAAAAAAGTAATTCACTTTCACAATACAAAATCACATGACAATCTCGCAAAATCAAAACGGCAATAATGATTTTAAGTAAGGATTATTTAATTTTTTTTTTTTCAAAGAATTTTTTTTTATTTAATTCAAATTGCATATAAATACATTTTTTTACATTTACACTGGTGAACTTGATTTAACTAAGCAATCGGTAAAAACATTCTTGATTTATTAGTTTCACTCGATGAATTACTTCTTGAAGAGATTATATTTGGACATTATTCAAGATTAATTAATTAAGGCTGATTGGATTTACGATAATTTGTTTCTCGTTCTTCATGCAATATTTATATTTGATAGATGCAAATTAAATGATTATTGTTTCGAATATATTTGCAAAAATTCGTTGCCATTTATTAATTATCTTTCGATAGACGGACGAGGAAATTCTTTCTAGACTTACCTAATTAAATGGTGCATCAAACAAACTTCAGGTATTGAGAGTGAGAACAGTGATAGAACAAAATGGAATAAAAAAAATTATGAAGAATTAAAGAAGACTTCAAGTCAATTTATTCCCCTTATTCAACTTGTTAAATTTCTCGCGAAGATTTTTATGATAAGTACGTTCTTACAAGGTCATTACTTATAATTAAATCCACGAAAAATTAAAGGATTTGAAAAAATTGTATCAAATATTATTTTGCAAAATATAAGACCTAATATAAAAAATTCAATGTATGCTTTCTCGTAAAATTGATCCATTAATAATATTATCATGGTAGTTATTATGGAATTGATAATATATAAAAATAAATGAGGTGAATGAAGTAGTCGCGTAGAGAGTATAGTTTTAATTAAAGCAAAAGAATCTTTGATGGATATGATTCTAATGGGTTTAAACTTTAAAACATTAAATGATTAAGATGTTACCAATTATCATTAATCAGATAACTTTATTATTACATTTGGTTAAGAACTCGATATATGAAAATAAGTTGTATAATAATTAATAAAGTATACTTGATAGTAGTATGTATTTTAAATACAGAAGTAGTTTATACTATTGATGAAATTTATTAATAATATAATTGTACGTTATTTTACGGTGTAATAAATCACATAATATAAAAGCTTTTTTGCGTTCCTTGAAATGCTTCATGGAATGTTATCACTCTTTGTCAATAAAAGAATCATTATAGGTTCACTTAAAACTTTTGTTTATTAAATTTCAAAAAAAAAAAGTTCGCCTCGTATTCTTCCTTAAAGATATTATATAGTTAAATATCTGAAGTGGTATAATTCAAATTCTTACGTAAAAATTTGTCAGTTAAGTGATCTCTGTATTTATTTTATCTTATTTTTACTTTTTCTTTTCAAATATAAACTCGATTTCTATATTAATAAACTCGATGTCTATATTAAGTAATCATGAATTTAAATAATGATGGTAAAACTATGACAAATAATATCGTAACATTACTACATTAAAGGATTTTAAATAACACTAGTACGTACTTCGCTTAAGTTTCAAATATTATAATTCTTATACTTGAGTTATTAAAATAGTACTAGAAATAATACTAAAGTATTTATTAGCTACGATTTTAAATAATACAGTACATTAAAAAATCTTTAGGACATTCTATTGTTATGCACTAGACGATTTGATAGTTAGCCCATGTATTATTCCTTTTTTTCATCTATTCACCCCTGCATTTTCCTTTTTGATTATACACCTTTTTTGTTAATGAACAGCACTTCGGACTATAATTAATGTAATTACTAATATCAGTCATATGAATAAAAGTTACGCGAAAAAAATTACTCATGCATAATAATTCCTTATGTCATGTAACACAAATCTTGATGTGGGTTTTGTCATGACTCATGAGTATATAATCTAAATAAATATGTCAGTTTTTCTTTATCTTTTTTTTTTACTTTGTCCTTTGTCTTCTTTTTTTTAAGTCTTCATCTTTTTTTAGGCCTGTCCTCTTTCTGTCTAGGTCTCCTCTTTATTCTTAGGACTTTAGGTAATTGGGTTATGTGTAGGTTTGTGTGTGGGTTTGTGTGTGGGAGGTGTCTATGTTGTGTACAGTATTTCCTTGCTCTTTCCTTCCCCTCTCTCTTTTTTTTCTTTCACTTTCGTTTTCCCGTTTTCCCTTTCCCTTTCGTTTTCCCCTTTTCCCTTCGTTTTCCCCTTTTCCCTTCGTTTTCCCCTTTCCCTTTCGTTTTCCCCTTTTCCCTTTCGTTTTCCCCCTTCCCTTTCGTATTCCCCTTTCCCTTTCGTATTCCCCTTTCCCTTTCGTTTTCCCCTTTCCCTTTCGTTTCCCTCGTTTTCCCTTTTCCCTTTCGTATTCCCCTTTCCCTTCGTATTCCCCTTTCCCTTTCGTATTCCCTTTCCCTTTCGTTTTCCCTTCCCCTTCGTTTTCCCTTTCCCTTTCGTTTTCCCCTTTTCCCTTCGTTTTTCCCTTTTCCCTTTCGTTTTCCCCTTTTCCCCTTTTCCCTTCGTTTTTCCCTTTCCCTTTCGTTTTCCCCTTTCCCCTTCCCTTCGCTTCCCGTTTCTTTCGTTTTACCCTTTCCCCTTCCCTTCGCTTCCCGTTTCTTTCGTTTTACCCTTTCCCCTTCGCTTTTCCTTTTTCCCTTACCCCCCTGATCAATGTTGCTGCACCTCAACGTGGTGATCAGGTGACAACAAGTTTTTTAAAGACTTGGCTAAGTCAGCAACAAATAGTATAAGTCATAAATTGGTTTGTTCACGTTATTAATTTATTAAATTGATTTCATATAAACATAACTAAATGAATAATTTGATATATCTTATTTTTTAACACTAAATTATTGTGCAAAGTTTTTTCCATAATAACATTCTTAAGACTAGCACATTGAAGAAATTTTTAAAATTTGAATTTAAGCAATGATTTCTATATAAAATCCTTTCAATTATATGATAATGATATTATAAGTTTATTAAAGTAGGAATTTTAAAATTAGAATTAATTAATGAATTCAAATAAATATAAACTGACAGTAATTCAGAATTGATTGATGCTAAAATTTTTGATTATAATTTTTCTAATATTTTGGATATTCAGATAGTAAATTATATTCTTCATCAATTTTAATATTATAAGTTTTGATTGATTTTTTAATTGATTTATCAATAAATTAAAATAATATTCATATTATTTAACTAATATACATTGAATGACAATTATAAATGTTTTCTTAATATAACTAGTAAATAAAAATCATTTTTAAGAAGAGCAATAAAAAATTTTAAACAATGAAACAAAATATATAATTTAATACAGGCACATGATTTGATGGTCTTTTTTGTTCCGATATAATATTAGTTCTTAGTGAATTCTTTTCATTTACTCCTCTTTTGTTTAAATTACGTTACGTGTCCTAGTTGAATAAAATATGATTCATATTGGATCAGGTAATAAAAAATTAAATCTAAATTAAAAAAAAAGATTCTGAAAATTTATTTTATTTATTTTTATTTTTACTTCAGAAAGGAAGACACACTAGAGAGATACTAAAACATTACGCGTAGAAACTAGACATAAAGAATATTGATCTAAACTAAATGTACAAAATCTAACAGGCAGACCCACCCTTCGTTGGAATGACTTGATAATGGAGAACTAGTCGCCATAGCAGTGAACGAACAAAGGGATTAGACACGAAAGTAAAAACAGGGGGAAGAGAGGAATGAGAACTCTATACTAACCATACACGAGAAAAGATTCCGAAAAAAATTATTGAAAGCCTATTCCTATAAGCAGTAATGCACGTACGGTAACTGCAGATACATGGTATGGTCAGTACGCCAGTACGATGCAAACTCAGATTCTTTGTGGCTTTCATAAATCTTTGATCTAGTGACTATAAAGTCTTATCCAAAGTTAAGAATTTAAATACTATTTTTTCGAACCATATTGTTTATATAATACTCAAATTATGTCTCGAAATGTATTTCAGAAATAAATTTCTGATCCACGGGTTTTCTTACCCTTGCAATCTCTATTTAAATTATCTAGTCGTTCTAATATAAATCAAAATGAATTATCAAAACTATCTAAAGGTAAATTTACCAAATTTTTCTTTAAATAATCATCATCACCAGAAGTTAGTTCACGTAATTTCTTCCTTGTTTCCTCCGTTTCTTTTTCGGAAAAAAAATTTTCCATTTCACCTAGCCTTTTTTATTAATAAAATAAAATTATTCATAAATGAGTCATGGAATTAAATCAAAACCTCTTTTTTTAGAATAATAAGGCAATATTTTAAAATAATATATTTAGTGCATGGTGCACACTTTTCATCAGGATCGCCACTTTTATCGTTCTCCAAGGGATGTAGTGCACAATACTATTAAAAAATAAAAGATTGATTAATTTGGTACGACTATATTTTGATTCAATTCAAAACTTAAAATAAAATTTAAAGTGAATTAATTATACAAGAAAGTATTACAAATGTAGTCTGTAAATCTTTTTAAGCAAAGATCTTTGTACTTTAAGGAGAACAATAAAATTCACATTATATGATATTTTTAGAAAAAAACATTTTTTCTTCCTAAAAAGGGAAATAAAACAAAATAAATTTAGGATGATTCAAAATGCAATTTACATGTGTGAGAAAAAATTTATCCCTTAAATACAATTATGATAAACTTGAATAACAATAGTCTAAATAATTATTTTAACTTTGCCATTTCTAATTTCGTCCATCTAAAGAGTGAGTTTGATTAATAAATCAATAGTATGATAAATTTTTATTAAACTCCCAAAAATTCTTTTTTTTTTTCTCTAAATTTTTTTCTACTATTATAAAATTAAAGAAAATTTCTAAAAAAAAAAATTACTTTCAAATTGTTTTTAATGTTTCGTATTATGTAGAAATATGTTAAATGACTTGCACACATTCCATATGTAAATTATCATTTTTAATTATGTTATATTGAATTTTTCTTATAAGTGAAAATTACTAATATTAATAATGAAATCACTAGTGTTTATAAGTCTAACTTCCAAAAAAGAGGTCAAGAATGAATTTAATAGCGTCTGTAATGACATGACTAATAATGTTCGAAAATGAGATAACTGACGTCCATAATAACATGGTCACCTTCTAAAAAGTAGTCTGTAATGAAGTTAAAGATACTCATAGCGATATCATAAAGAAATTGCTGATGGTTCATAATGAAGCAGCTGATTAGCAATTTCGCATGTTTCGCTATCTCATGGGTACAACAGGTATCCTCATCCAAGACAAGCAATTAACAGCTAGCCGTAAGAAAGTGATCGAAGGTTATTCAGCAATTGGGTACAACAGGTATGTATTTAGAATTATACTAATGTTTTATGAATTAGTAACTTATTGAATTTAACCTCTGACTTAAAGGATTATCAGTATTCTCAATGAATAAGCTTTTTTTTTATATTACAAAAAGAAACCACCAATTAACATATATTTATTATACAACTGCATATCAAGAATCAGCTAATTCAAAATCATTGGATAGCAATTAAAAAATAGATAATTATAATGTATGAATTTTAATGTAACCAATATTGATTATTATGTTTCAATTTTATTTAACTTTTTTTAAAAAAGGTGATGCCGCTGGATGAGCTTTTCTGAGATTCTTTTGTTTCTTTTTTTTTTGCTCTGATGAACTTCTAAAACCATGGTGGACTATCATATCTTTCAAAATTTTTTCAATTTCTTTATAGTTATTATTTTGTTTGTAAGATTTAATTTTTTTTTTTATTATGTGCAAGTTGTTTATTAGTAATACTGTAGACCGGTTGGACTTTACCAATGCCCAATCTTCCTGTTCAATCTCTGTCATGCTTGATGCTAGGTTTCTGAATATTATACATGTGAAAATTTTTTACATTTTTGGAACTTTTTTCTAATTGTTATTGTTATTATTGCAGATGGAACACGTTGTCAAATGTCGATTGAGAGGAAGAATTTCTAGCAATAGTTCCGAACTTTGAAATACGATCACAATCAGATACAGAAGATAAGATTCATGAAAAGATCATGTGGATGGATGCTGAAGTTAAAGTAATTTACTAATGATCATTTGTTGATTATGTTTATTTATCATTGCTACCACTTATTAATGTTATACATATACTACATATGTGTTTAGGATGGATTTTCTATCGATCCGTTTATCCAGCTGGTATCCGCAACAGAGCAGGATGATACCATCAATTTGTAATGTAAAGAAATAACACCGATTAGAGGTAACGAATCTTAAAGGAATACTCAGAGAACGTATCTATCGTATTATGCACAATCAGATCTATTGGCATGAATATGTAAATTCTGCCACTTTTGACTTCAAATGTTCTTAACGGATTGTCCTTAACCTACAAGGAATCATTTAAGGTAATTACTAATAAAAGATTTAAAGATTTAATAAAGAAAAGAAATCAATTCTGTGATTTTTTCATAACTTTTTTTTGCTAATAGTAAGAAGTCTGTACAAAAAGAATGTACTTGAATAACTTCGTGAGATGTGATAATACGCCCATAAATCTAATATTTGCAAGCATAATGCATACCCGGTACTATATTTATTATAGAACTAGAAATAAAATTATGCACTGCACAAAAAAAAGAACTTGTCCTTTTTATGTATATTTTTGGTCTTGTCTAAACAAGTAATTAAAAAATCAGATATTCGTATCGCTTTTTCTCAATAACTTTAGAACTACAATCACAATTAACATGCCGCATTAAAACCGCTGGGTAACAAAATTTTATATTCATATTTTCTACACTTTTTTTCTCGAATTAACTCAAAAATTTTGGTAAAAAATTATGTTCAGTATATCAGAACTTTTCAACAGCACATTTTAACAATTATAAATTATATATTTTATGTAAATTCGATTAAACAAATTATAGTTTGGTTACAGTAAAAGTTTCTAACTCTATATCAAAAATTTTTTCTTCTGTAGGTAAAATCTTTTATAAATATCATGATTGCCAATATGAACGAGAATGTAAAATAGCTGAGTGTGCATAATCGTTTTCACCAACATGGATAATGATGATATTGTAATCATCAGAATTATCTAGTATTAAGTAAAAGTCTTTTTGAAAAATTGGAATAAAAAAGTGATGTCATTTTTTATTTAAAAAAAAACAAAGTGGCGTGCGATTATATGAATGAATAATTATTTTTTTTTTGTATTTTTACAAAGCCAAGTTAGCTATTATATTGCAACCATATACTATCCAGATGATTACGGTATGCACTCGTGACAAAATAGTAAACTAGTATATTGTTCATAATTTGATCCATTTCTTAGGTTTCGAAATACTTATGAAGTAGAAATAGTCTCAAAACTCCAATGTTAATTTGAATTTCTTCAAATTAAGTTAACTATTATAATTTTATTTTTATAATAGCACAAAATTATAAAAATAATTTATCGGGTTTTTTATTTATAAGCTGTTCAAGATATAAAACTATTCGGACACCAATTTTAGGTAAGACGTCTAAAGTGGAAATATTATTCCAGATGAATTTTTATATTAAGAGAGGTATATTTTGTTGAGTTCGGAGCGTGATGATCTCTATCACGAATGTTTAACAACTCAACAAAAAGCAAAATACAAATAAATTGACTTAATTTTATATTTTTTTGTATTTGCTTTGAATTATAATGATTTTAATGTCACAAAAAAATTCTTTGATTGGATTTTTAAATTTAAAGCGTGACAAATATAAAGTCTACACAAAAAATTTCGTGACTTATGAGATCGTCACGTTATTGAGTGCTAACAGTAAATTCTAAAAATCCGCAGCAAAAAAAAGGATAAAATAATTTTTCTTTAATCTGTTTATTGAGATTTTTTTTTATTTACAAAATTTCATGACTTTATCAAAAACTATTAAGACCTCTTAAACAAAAATTTGGTATAAAGTCTGCTGTTTACGCACATGCTTCTAACTTTTCATGGTCCTACACTTCGCTGTTAGGGTATGTAAACATACACCGACGATAAAGAGAAGATAATGTGGCGCAGCAAAGCCACGGAAAACAGAGAACAAATCAGATTCATCCCGGACGACCTTCTAAAGGCAAGTAACATAAAAGAAGTCTAAATTTGAAAAAAACCTCAACCACAAAAGAACGACAAACCGCCGGTAAAACCATTCGCTACAAAAAAGAAAGTTCCATGCAAAAGATCATCACTGGTCACATGATATGCAACCAAAGTTCGTGACATCATGCCATCGAAGTGGTCCCCGGAAAAAATACTCGAGTCAATAGAATGGAGTACACCGATTTCAGTAACTATCAAGTAACAGAAATATCAATTTTTCACGTAAGAATAGGGCCTATGATTCTACACGCTAGGTGGAGTGCACGTACGATCGTACGATAAATCCCTGACAAATGGCATTATTAAAAATATTTTTTATCAAAGCATTGCGACAATTTATTCTCTAAAATGGCTAAATTTCAATTATTACGCTCATGCCAATAAAACAATCATGTTACATTTTTTAATTCAAGTAATATTTATTTCAAAAGTATTAACGGGTGAATAAACATTTAAATAAAGCATTATGTTTAAAACATTTTACAACAGTATTCTATTTTTATACTAAAGTTAAACCGTATTTAACTATCATTCTTTATATTTGAAATAAGTACACTTAATGGTCTACTAGCATAAATTACATTGGAATGCGAAATATTATGGCTTATAGAATTTATATCCATTGTAGATAACCTACAAACCAATAGTATGTCGTTATTATTGACAAATATTTTAATTTTAAAAAAGAAAATTCTTGAATTTATACTAACCTTTGGGTACTTTTATCAATATCAAAATCTAAATCTGTTGATTTATATCCTATAAATAAAAAATAAACTTAGTACATAAATTAAGAATTTCTTTTTATTAGTACATACCAGATAATGTATTAATAGGCAAAGATTTTGAGGGTTTAAAATCAGCTGGTCCGAGTTTACTATTAATTAATAAATAAATTAATAACTGAAAATTAAAATAAACAATTTTTGTTTGTAATTAATAAGTACCATTTAGTATTATATATATCAAACTCTTCCGAAGTATTTGCTATAAAGAAAAGCAAATAAATTATCGACAATTAATTTCGTTAAAAAAATAAGTAAATAAATAAAATATATAAAAATAAATTACATACTTTGCTTCGAATTTGTTAAAGACGAATTAGAAGATGAAACTTGAAAAATGAAAGAATTTAAAGATTGACTATTATAAACAACGCCAGGATGTTGTTTTTCGGGACCAATTTGTTTCGATTCTACTAATTCTAATCGTTTATTTTCGGCTTTAGTAAATATCTCATCATTTTTTTTACATTTATTATACCAATTATCGACGGTTTCTTTAATTTCAATTATGGAGGGTCTTTTTGATGAATCAGAATCCCAACATCTTTTCATTAAATTAGCAAAAGTCTCAGGAGTATCAATCGTAATATCAGGTCTTTTACCATCAATAATCTTCAAAACCAGTTCTGTATCATGTTCAACTTTAGAAAAAGGCCTACAACCTGACGTAAGTTCCCACATAATCATACCCATACTATATATATCAGATTCTTTAGAAAATGCGCCACCTCGAAATATTTCCGGTGCGACATAAGGCACTACCCCATATATTTCATTATTCGATGAATTATTTGCTGGTTGTGACAATCCTAAATCTCCAATTACCCACTTTTTATGATCGTCTTTTAACGATAATATATTCCCACTATGGAAGTCTCGATGTATAAAATTTTCATTGTGAATAGTCTTAAGTCTAGAATAAAAAGTATTAAATAATTTAGTTTAATATTATTATATTACATAATTATTTACAATAAAGTTATAATAAAATTATATATAAATACCCATCTGAAATTTGACATAAAATAGCCAATTTTGTGATCCATTTAATATTTGCGAAATTTTTCCTCAAGTAATTGTGTAAATTTCCACCACTCGCATATTCCATTATTAACATATAATCTTTTATTGCAGGATCTTGCGTAATACCATAATATTTGATAATAAAAAGCGTGTCATAACATCGATGGAGTGATTTTAACTAAAATTATAATTTTAATTTATTAAAATAAAATGTAATATACAAATATTATAAAATAACTTAACTTACTTCATTTAAAAAATATTTACTGATATCGTGCGAATTTGAAAATCTTTTTACGGCAGCAAGAGTTTTGAACCAAGTTGCTTTATAAATGATTCCAAATCCCCCTTCTGCTATTTTTTCTGAATTTTTAATTTGAGAATATGGAATCCACTCCATTGTTCGTTTTGTACTAATTTTGAGTTCATGTTCAATGAAACGATACACGTTTAAAGGATCAGAATTTTTATCTATATCATTCATATAATTAGCAATCTTATGATGACTATCGATGTTGGTTCTTGTAGAAATAAGAAATTCATCTATATTATGATTTCCACTGCTAATATTTGTGATATCGATAACTATATTTGATATTCTTTTGCATTTCTTACATTGAGTTTGATCGGTAATTCCAAAAATTATGTTTGTTGTCAAACAGTATCTACACCCTACGTAAACTATGAAGCAATCTGAACACCATTTTTGACAATCGGTTATAAATTTTAGATTATGGTTACAAACACTACTTTTATTAGAAGCGTCCCACCATGGTAAATAAAGAATTGGAATAGACCTATTAGTAAAATTTGATTTTGTCCACCCAGAAGAAATTAAGTAGCAATTCGAGCACATTTTAAACCCGAAAGATATCTTATCAATTAATTTTCCGCATAATTTACAATCCTTTTCTATAAATATATATTGCGTTTTAGTATTAATATGATCATAATAATTCTTAAAATATGAAATTTCAGAACAATTTTTGCACCATTCTTGAATTTTTCTTGTAAAAAAATTTATATTTCTTGTTGACTCATGTTCAATACACTGACTATTATTTGTAAGAATATTTACATCAAAATATATGTTATTGTCCATTATATTTTCAATGTACGATAATAAACATTTTTTACAATATTTCTGTTTATATAATTGTGTATTAGAATATTTATTTCCACAATTATTACATTTGAGTTTTTCATTATTAAAGGGAATAAATAAAATTGGTACGGGACTAGAGTTTAATTCTGGCGTTGGGTCAAAGTTATTTTCATTTGTAAGTTCCATTATGTTATATTTTAGTAAAATTATAATAATTACGATAGCGATATTTATATTCTATTTACAAATAATTTTTTTTTTTATTTTTTTAGTATTTACAAATAATTATTAATGCGTTTATTGTTTTAAGAATATTCGGATATATACTTATTACATTGTACTACGTACTAGGTAAAGTCCGTCACAAATTATAGTTCAGATGCATGTAATTGCGATTGGAAAATAAACAAAGCGAAAGTGTAAAAGGAAATGGTTGTAAGAGGCGGATAAAATAAGATTTATACGCCCCAATTTTGTACCGAAAAGTAACTTATTTTGGATTAGATGATTTAGAAGAAAAAAAATTTTTTTTTTATTGCCTTCCATTAAGAAGGTCTGAAGAATATTCGGTTTATTTACTGTGCTACACGGCTACACCAGTGTCGATATGTAACTGGATCAATTCCAAGTAATTAGTTTCTATACAGAAATTCTTAGTGTAACATGAGTAAATTATAAATTGCAAATTGTAACAATTTCCTTTTTCTTTAACTTTTTCGAAAATTTTTTTGTTAACAGTGGCTATTAAAAATGGGCCAAAATTGGTCGCTGCTTAAATCAAAATTTGTAGCGTAGTGATTAAATTGTCGTTGTACTGCAAAATGGTTTAAATTTTAACAGAAAAATAAAAAAAAAAACATATATTATTATATATACAAATCGTAAATTACTCGTAAAATAAATAAGAACTTTAAACTTTCGACAAAAACGAATACTCGATTCCGGCCCATACTTTCATTACTTCATTACAAACCACTGAATTACAATCTCCGGAAATTTTCAATGGCTTCCGTACGTACTGTAAATACAGTACACAATTTCAATTTTTTCGAATTTAAAGTTTACATATTAAATTGAGAAAAATAAAGTACTGGTAGCCTATTGATTTTTTTCCCTTCCATGTATTTTTTTTAAAAAAATTTTATGCAAATAGATAAACTCATTTTTTATAAGCTTTATTATCGTATATGTCATTTAAAAATCTTATTGTAAGATGTTTAATAAAAGTTAAAAAGAAAAAAAATTCGATATAAATTATTTAAAGAGCACACTTTTTTATTATGATCTACACTCTACAAACTCGCTAAAACGTATTTATTGTGCGGTACCGATTTTAGCATAAAAAAAAAAATCCGGTATACCGAATGTTACTAATTAAATCCCGCTGTGTACGAAAATTTAAAAATATTTTCGTACAATTTAAATTTCGTACGAACAACCTTGAATTTTCGTACACTTATGAGTTTGCCGACCAAAATTAAGGTTTATTTCAAACCCAGAGTACAATAAAGGAACTTTTCGAGTTAAGTGTGATAATGGAAAAATAACTACTGCCCAAGGGAATGAAAAGCAAAAATAATGGAAGAGAAAGAATAATAATAAAAATAACTTTAAAAAACTTAGAAAAAAGACAAATCATTTCTTTGGTCGAGAAAGAAAATGTTGACTGATTATTTTTTATTGCCAAAAAATACAGTAAAAGTCTTTTTTCAAATTTGATCACATGTTGTTACAATGTAAATTATTAGTACGTTAAAGAGTGCGGAAAAAATGAAATTTTTTTTTGAGCGTCCGTACTAATAAGTTGTATTACCGCACTGTACTAAACTACTAATTTACTAAAATTTTTATAAGGAATTACTAACTGTTATTGTTTAAAAAAAGGGGTGCAGACTGCATACCCGTAATGTGTGACGTGTGACAGGCTACGCCGAAAATGTTTCAGATAAAGAATATTGTGCTCATAAAGCGATACGAAGTTTCATTGGTTAGATTACCAGATCTGTTGGTACAGTCTGCGCCACATCATCGGCCTGGCCCGCATACCCATTCTATTCATCTAATGCACCATTTGAATTTTTTATGTTGACACTCCATCCTTTCTTGAAGTAGGATTTTCTTCAAGTTTTTCAGTATCATCAGGAAAGAAAATGAAATCACGTCTAATTTTTAATGTATCACTATTAGAAGGAGTACGAGAAGTAGGACGGAGTTGTTATTATTACGTTTATTGTTATCCCTATTTTTGCTAAAGATTCCCGATAGAGAACGAACCAACCCTCAGAATTTATGATTTCTCTTTTTTCCTTCAACATCCTTCTTAGGATTAAACATACTTAAAACTGTGACGTTTGTTACGTTTAGAAGACTACTTTATTATCCTCAAAACTGATTTTTTTCATCTCATTAACAAAAGAAAAGTCGAAGAGGAATAATTATCCTTTGAAGTTTCAGAATGCCATCAACTTCTTCTTAATCATTATTATTAACATTAGTTTCATAAGTTGTCATACTTTTTAGAAAAAATTAATAGAAAAAACAAGAAAGAGAGAATACTCTTATCTATTATTTGTTTTGTTTTGTTGTTTTATTTTGGTTCAAAGAACAGAGAAAATTAAAGACATAGAAGGTATGATGATAAAAGAAAATTTTACGAAATTAGTAAGAAGAAATATGGAGTTATAAGGTTTTTATATTAATAATGAAGGATGAAATAAATATGATTAAAATATTTACTTGATGAAATATGAAAGAGCAGAATTAATGATATTAGGCAAAAGAATTAAAGTAATAAATGAAATATGTGTGGAGGAAAAGGAGTTGTTTGATGAATGATTAAATTTTTATGCAGATGCTTCGTTAAAAAATAATAATAGAGGAATAGGGTGGGTGAGAATAGATAAAAAAGGAAAGATAATAAAAAATTTAATATTAAAATTGTAAATAATGTGGACGTATACGAATTAGAATCTTAAACAAATGTATCTATCTGTGTCTCTTTACACGCTGTCCCTGAATTCATATGTACCGATTTTCAGTTGAATGATAGATTTTTATTGTCCTGCTGGCGTTAGCTTAGTTTGTGCTATCTTGTAATACAATATATGTGGGTCAAGAAGAAAGCATTATCCACCTTAATTAATACACCTGACCCTAAAAAATTTCATGACTTCTGGCGACAGCTTACTTCATTTTCGTGTTCAATAATGGACAGGAACTTAATTTTTCTACTATCGGACCTTCAAGCGCGTATTTTAAGCAGAAAAAAAGGTAAAAAAAAAAAAAACCCGTACAGCTTATTTTCGGAGTAATAGATAACTTAATTTTCCTATTTCGGAATGATATGACTGATTATTCTACTAAACAGATAGCTTAATTATCCTAGTACAACTTATTTTCGGAGTGACAGGATTGATTCATCAATAGCTTAATTTACCGATTAGGATTTCTCAGCGCGTGTATAGCTTATTTTTTTACCATTGGATTTCGGAGTATATTTTTAATGATGCGTTTAAGTAAAAATAAACTTTATCGCGCATTTTTGTGTTTAAGCAAAGGTGAATATAAATAGCTTCACTTTTTCTTTCGGTTTTTTTTTGTCTTCCTATCTATTATTTTTTATTTTTTTATTCAACTGAACTTTATTAATATGTTGACTGAAAAAATCAAAAAAAAACTTCTATATACTGAGTACTGGGAGACTCCCTATGAAAAGTGGGGAGTTGATACATGGGACTCGTTTTTCTACGAGAAATATTCGGGGTCAAAGCGGAAGTCGCGTAGTGCTCTGGCAGTCGAACTGAAAGTGTTGAATAAACATTTAAAACCCGGGAGAGAAAAAGAGAAGGTGTCGATATTGAAACATAACTTGAAGGTTAGTATTTTACACGTTCTCGGGCGTGAAGATGCTAACGAGCATAGTAAGTGTGCTACGCCCTGTATTCTGCGGCTATGGGGAATAACGTCTAGTCGTCTAGACTTGAGTACTGTAATGATGTGACTTACCGTTACTTGCCTAGTGAATTTATTAATTGTGTGGCGTAGTATTATATTTAGTTTGTGTAAATTTTTATAGTATTTTTATTTACTATGGTCCGGAATGACGTTAAACAATCATATTGTGCTAAAGGATCATATAATAAACTCCGGGATCATGAGTATAAACTGATCCATATGTAATGTTTAGTATTACATAGTTCTTGGGAATATATTTTATATTTAATCATAAGAACCAATGAGATATTAATTATTAGGCTTATGTGAAGATCATTACGATTTATTATGATTATCAGAATCAATGGAGAATTGTACAACTTAATTAATTATAAAAGGAAGCTACAATTGATCAAGTAAAAAGGAGAATGATTAATTATTATATTTTACCTTTAGAATAGATAATTTCGATTCTTTTTGCCTTTTTCTTATGATGAAAAAGAGCCACATTAATTAATTTAATGGTATTATTTAAAGGGTTATAACATGGAGAAATTATTGCATTTTAATTTTTAGAATTTAATTTTATATTAGTTATTAAGCCAAGTATTGTTAAATTATATTATTATTATTTTATATTATTAATAAGTATCATTTTGTTAATATTCAAGGTGGCAACATGGTTTACCATGGGCTTGAGCATTACAGTACCTGGTCTCATCGCTACGACGTGCACATCTTACTATGAAGTTCTTCTGCTAATTCTGGCAGAGGAGGAATCGGTTATGTGCCTCCCTTATGTTAAGGATCTTTATTCCCAATCAGCCTAATTATTTGTAGTGAAGAAGAAGGAAAAGGGGAATGTCTCTTACTGTTGGTAAATTTCAATTTTTTGTCTTTCTCTGTCATATTTGCCAATAATACCCCACATACTTACTAAATCTTGTGCTTTTCTTTCCTACTTTTTATCGTTAAACCCGCCTAAAAAACACATTCACATTATTGTAGCGCAACCCGTTGCTGGTAAGTGAGCCGTAATAAATTTTGGTCAACGTAGAATAAGCTTGTTTCATTTCCTCTCTTGACTATGTCATATTTGCTACACTGATTCGTATCTCCACCAGAATCCATCATAACCAGACAAGAGATGGAGTTGATGAATAAAATAGCGGAATTAGAGAGGCTACTCAGAAAGCCCATATATGGTATGTTGGCTGTGTTGAGGAGAGTTTGAAATTAAAATTATACTAAGCTAGTTATTGTGATTGTAGAATTCGATGTCATAGTGAATCCGAAACGCACAAAGGCATTCAAATGGGTTGCAAATATAGATCAAGTGACCCTTGGAGATCTTAGGGAATCTATATTTGCCATGCATCAACTCCCAGAACTTGAGAAGGATGATCCAACATTTACCTTTGAATGCAATGGTGACAAATACTCCCCTCAAAGCGACTTAGAGCTTCGAAATATTCTCCAGTTATTTGTGGCAAAAAGTAGCCTCAAATTCACTGTATTCATAGAGACATCTTTATCCTTTTCTCTTTGGACCTTTCCAAAAGTATGTCAGCTCTATTGGTTTAGTGAATATGGTGATCCATAATTATCCGTGTTTCCTATTTTTACTTGTGAATGTGTACAATTGAATGATGAAAAGCCACAAGTAATAATCAAGCATCTTATGGCTGACTTTAATTTCCGACTTAAGGCTATCCCTATCGGAAATGAAGCATCAAAAAGTCAGTATGTTTGTGCATACCTTGTAGCCGTTACCAATCTTTTTGAGTATAAGTTCAAAGTTCGTCCAGGAAAGAATGTCTCAGGTCCAAATGGTCATGGACCTGTAGATTTTGCTTTAGTTCTAGTCCGGGCTTCTAGGATAATTAGTATTACCGAAGTCAAAGATAAAGATTTTCTACAAGGCATTGCTCAGAATTCAGTGCAGTGTGAATCAGCTGCTTTGTCAAATTATAAGAAAAAGTCTTTGGTATCATAACTGATTCCGAGAGGTGGTTTTTTTTGTAGTGTTCATTGGATGACGAAGTAAAACCTGAGTTTAAACTATCAAAACCGGTGGTCATTGTATATGGGGATGAAGATATGGAGTACCGGGTAAAAAGGTCCTTGGTCATATTGCGTGGTTGCTGGAGGAGGCACAAAGGCTAGATGAGACAGATTAGAATGTGTACATTAGTAATTATTGTTTCACAACACGGTTTATTTTTGTATAATAATTGATGTGTTGAACCGGAAAAATAAAAAATATATATATACCCTACTGTATCATATATAATATTCTAGTGATTACGTGGTGATCGTTACATTGATTGACTTTTTTATAACTGTGTAAGAAAAATTTCGACTGTGAGTTTACATAAAGTTAATAGACATTTTTTCGTCAAGAATTTCGAGTGCTATAATATAATTAGCATCAATGAAGTCAAACAATATAAAAATCTGGTGGAGCTTTATTAAGGTTAATGATGACATTGCGTGTACGGCTGCAATTCAAAGTATATTGGGTCACTATTTAATCAAATCCCTCTCAAAATTTGTATAATTCAAGCCGGAAGCGTTATTGAAAAGGAAATGGATGTAGCGATGTATTTTCGCAAATCTTATTTTATGTATCAGTCAAGACGTTCTTTATTTTACAAATAATAAAGCATCGTTGTTTCTGTGAGTCACGTGTAATGATGCGTACAAAATCATGTGCAATTACTCGACCTGTCTGTGCGACATGAAACCATATATTAACGCTTGCTTTCCCCAGAGTTTTCCCAAAAGTAAATCTTTTATTTTACAACTGTATCACTCCGGATGTAACACTATTTTTTATCCGAGCCAAATATTCCTATAAAAACGCAACGTTAAATCAAATATTGTCGATACACCAGTTTCTACTTCCGCTACTGCTACTGGAAATGACTCGCTCACGCTGCGGAAGAAATTAAAAAATATAAAACGGAGGCTCTTATCGAATATTTACGGAAAGAAGAGGACTTAGGTCTTGACGACGATGACTTTTAGATAAATCGCAAACAAAAGGTTAACGACCGTGCCTTCCTCAATTCCTATAAAAAATTTTATCCGTTATTTCTGTAACAACTCCGTAAAAATGAGCCTTTCACAAATCTATTCACGGAAAATGTAAATAATTCGATAATTCCATGATATAAGGTTATTAATTCCGGAAATATGAGCCTTTTACGGAAAAAAGATGGAATATAAAAAAGGATTGACTTTTTATACAGGGAATATAACCGAATAAAAACTCAGAAGCTATGGAAGTGGACCTGCATCAAATATTGCGTCTTCGCTAAGGAGCGTAAGGAGAAAAATTAAAAGCGTTCTCGTCATACCGAAGTTTGAGTGAGGTATTAGCGAAATACGATATTGACTCTAGTGGGACAGTCACCATCCACTATTTTCTTTATAAACCTATGAAATTGAAGACTCCGACAAGCACTTCGAGCATTGCATGGCGGAAATTTTAGTCAGGTTAAAAAATTACGGGACTTTGGTTGTGGATAGCTTGGAAGCCATGCGCAATGAGCACATCGTGACAATTCTTCACACCACGATCAATATTACTAGGGATGATACAGGGAAAAAACTCAGCATGAGACCTGAGTACGAAGTAATAAGTGAGAATGCTGATTATGCAATCAAGGTATTGTGGTATTTTTTCCGGGACCGCACTGTCTCGAAAATTTCTTGGCATTTTTTTTCTTTACATCATCTGGGTATATCGTACTAACATCATAGCTTTAATTCCAGGAAACAGAGAATCTTATTTGCATTACAGAGGACAAACCACAGCGGAATGTAGTCGAGGGCTTCGCTCAGAATATCAAGCAACTTGAGAGTTTGTTCCAAATGAATAAGAGAAAACGAAAGCGAGAGGATGGTGATGATTTCGATTATCTATATGTTGTTGTCACTACAGCTCGCACTTCCTGCTCTACACTCCAGTAAAAATTTCACAAGGCAGTAAATTACCATTTAGCATCGAATTTTCCGAAGATGCTTTGGTTAAAGAATCCGTAGAATATCAAACATTACGTAATGGCGTGAAAAAGGTGTTGGGCGTAGTAGTAGGTTTATTAAAGGATAGGGCATGCGCGGAAGACGATTCTCTCTCAAAGAAAAAAGCTAGTATAGAGGAATATCGTTCAAAAAAATAAGCATGTATAATAGTCTGCAAATGTAGCATAGAAACGTCATGTACTACTGGCTGTGTCCTGATCCTTTGTATTTATTTTTGCGTGTATTAATAAAAAATTTTCTCTTGATGAAACGAGGCGCATGTAAATTGTCACCGTATCAGATGTTATTATTTTTAAGATGTGCTTGTGCAATTATTGCAATTATTAATTGATTTTATTGAATATGTGATATTATTTCATACATTTGAAGCAAATAACTATAAAGCAAATACTATATTTAAGATGGCCTCGAAGTCTCGAACAAATAAATCCTGGCTATTTGTAAAAAAAAATGTTAAGAAAATCTGATGAATATTCGTATCTATGCATTATCAAAACCCCTGGCTATCGACAATGCTGCAAAACTCATCGTTAATTATAATTTTATGTTTCAGAAGAGAACAGACGATAGATTGGCTTATTTAAAATGAATTGTTACTTTTTATTCTCTTTCGTTATTATTTGTTTATTTTTATTGTTGTGTAATATATATTTGCTATATTCAAGATTTCAAGAACTTTTTTTCTATTAATTAATGTCTACCAAATAAAATAAATAAAACAACTAACTTTACGATTTTATGATGTAAAATATGAATGAATGTTTCATTTACTTTACAAGGTTCCACTCATCTGAATTTCATTGAATAGATTAACTAATATTGGAAACCGGTATCGAATAAATTTGTTAGTAACCACCTAATGTCCTAACGTTACATAAACTTTGCCATATTTTCTCATATATTATAATTTTGATTGATAAAAAGATCAAGTTTTGGTTTGATTTATTATATTTCGTTATATATACGAAACGGAAACTATATTATTGCGCAGTCAAACGAAAGATTGATTGTTTATCAATCAATATAGGGATTATTTTACGACGTCATCGCTCACCTTCTAGATAGTTTGTATTGATATTTTAAAATTTCAACTCCATCCGGTTAAAACAATTGATTTTAATTTTTATTGTTTTAATATATAATTTACTTTCACAACTATAAGCCGGTAATACGATTATTTATTTTTATTTTTTTTTTTGACTAAACAAAATTTTCGGCGCAGTAAAAATTAGTGGTACGTTGTATGTTACACGTTCCAATGCATAAATCGTACAAAACGAAAAAAAGAATTTTTTCTTCTGGGTAAAACAAAATTTTAAATTTTTTCAAAAAAAAAAAAAAAAAAAAAAAAAATTTTAAATAAATAATAAATTTAAAATTTATTAACAAATTATGGGAACTTATGGAATTTGTAAAGAATGTGAAAAAGAAAATACTGGATATCAATGGTGTATAGAATGTAATTCAAAACATTTTCAACAAAATTTTAAAAATTGGACTAGTAATAATGATGATATTAACAAATTAATTCAAGAAACTCAATTATTATCAATTAATCATTATAGAGTATTAGAATGGATACCATACAATAAATTTTATGATATTGAATATATTGCAAAAGGTGGTTTTGGAAAAGTATATAAAGCAAAATGGATTGATGGATATATTCATCATTGGGATACCAATGAAAATCAAAATTGGAAAAGATTTAATTCCAATGAATTTGTAGCATTGAAAAGTTTAAATAATTCAGAAAATGTTACACTAGAATTTATAAATGAGGTACAAATTAATTTTTTTTTAATAAATTTTTTAAATGTTATTTTACTTATGGATTTTTGAAAAAATTTATATATATTTAGATTACAATGCATTGTAAAGCTATTGAAGACTCTTATATTTCTTTTATTGTTAGAGTTCATGGAATTACACAAGACCCGGAAACAAAAAATTATATGATGGTTTTGCAATATGCGGAGAAAGGAAGTTTACGAAATTATTTAAATAAATATTATAGTAAGTTAGATTGGAAAACTAAACTTTTTTATTTGTGGAATATTGCATATGGACTTGAAACAATCCATGAAAGGGAACTAATTCATCGAGATTTACATATTGGTAATGTATTAAAGTTTCCATATTATTCCAGTATAACTGATATGGGATTATGTAAACCTGCAGATTATAATTCATCAGAAAATTCAAAAAATAGAATATATGGTGTTTTACCTTATATCGCTCCTGAAATTTTAAGAGGACAAAATTATACTAAAGCTGCTGATATTTATAGTTTTGGTATAATTATGTATGAAGTAATTTCTGGATTATTTCCGTATTATGATTTAAGTCATGATGAAAATTTAGCAATAAAAATTTGTCAAGGACTTAGGCCAAGATTCAATAATATTAAAGTTCCCCAATTAATTGTGCATTTAATTAAAAGATGCTTGGATGCAAATCCATTAAATCGACCAAAAGAAAGAGAAATTAGTGATATTTTAATTAAATGGAATGAATATGATAACAATCAATCAGAAATAGGAAAACAAATTAAAGAAGCAGAAGAGATCAATAATAATTTGCCAACTAGCAATATGTCTTCAGTTAATTTATCATATGAAATACATTCAGGAGCTGTTTATACAAGTAGATTACTTAAATTTAATAATCTTCCAGAACCAAAAAATTCTGATGATTATTATGAACAAAATGATAATATAATTAGTGAAAAATTTTCAGGTAAATATTTTTTTTTAATATTTAAATATTAATATACTAATGTTATTTAATTAAATAGAAACTTTACAAATTGATCTTTCTCAATTGAAAAATTAATGAAATCAATAAAGATGGTAAAATCAGAAGTTCTATAAAATTATTCTTTTTTTTTTTATTTATATATTTAACCTATAAATTTTATTTTTTAGATCAATTAGCAAATGGAAAATTTTGAAAAATCTTATTGTAAAAAGAAAATTATTGATGAGTGTATTTATATTTAGTAAAATTACTGATTAAATGAATTGAATAACGATTTCCTGATTTCAATTTATCAGTAAACGTAAAAAAAAAAGAAAATTTCTCTAATATGATTCAATTTAATATTAGATCACAAAAAATAAACATAAAATAAGAGTTCTCAAGCGTAAATGACTAACAATATTCTGATAATATATTTTTTATTTGAAAATACTATGGCATTATTAAATTGACGGGCGTTCCATTCTACAATATTCATCAATATTAAAAACCACCAAAGAAAATTTTTTGTTGTTTATGATTTTCTCTTTAGTGCGTCTATATTATTGAAGTTTCAAAATTTTTATAAATTTTAATAATCGATGTAATTTCAAGAATTATTTTTTAAATTATGCAACCAATTTAGAGCTTTTGTTTTAGACCTATAAGGTAACTGTGATTCAATGAAACTAGTGAAGGAAAGATACTGTCTGTATATTAAAAACTACTTTATGAAAATACTTTCATAAATTTTTTTTTTTTTTTTTTTTTTTGACGAATTTATAATTAAATAAAAGTCGTATACTTTGTCACATAATTATTTGTGATTGCGTTACAGTTTGATAATTTATCATTAAATAGATATAAAGTAGATAAAAAAATTTTCTATATCGAAAATTTCTCTGATATTGCCATCCGAACGTCTTAATTCGTATCAATTTTTTATATTCAACTCAGAAGGCTATCTTTCTTCCTAAAATCTAAAAAAATTTCGGTGTTTCGTAAAGAAAAAAAAGAGTTACAGCACCCAGTATTCCCACGTTGTCCCCAACCGTAGTACTGACTGGGCCATCAGTGGCTTAACTTCGGAGATCGGACGGGTTCCGGTGCTTTTCACTGTGTATGGCCGTAACTTAAAAAAGGGTCCAAAATTTACCCATTTAAAATTTTATAATATGAGACTTGGTTTTTTAGGAATCCAAATTTATTCTATAATCGATACATTAATTATCATCGATCTATTGCGGAAATTTTTTTTTTTTAAAAAATTTACTAAACCTTGATTCTATATCTTAAAGTCGTCTCTTCACTCTCATGTAGTTATATTAATAAGTTAAATGTTATTTTTAACACATTTTTTATCGTTTCAGAATTCAGATCTTATTATTAAATAAATATGTTTTGATTTAAAATTATTAATTATGCATTTATGGCTCAAATGAAAAATTTTTGAATATTATATTTTTTTCTATATATACAAGAAAAAACTATGCGTAGTGTATTGTAGATATTTACTTTCGCCCAACTAAATTTTAAACATATACTTTACATCAAAAAGGATGCCCATTATCATTAAAGGACTGAAAAAAAAAGTTAACTAAAGCCAGAAGATCCAAGTTATACATCCAAACAAATCCTTATATCATATCGTAAAATGCCTCCGTCAGTTTGACGATTTGAGCTTATGTGCGTGAAAAAGGTGTATACATGTTTTTACTTCATTATACAAATAATTAAGATGACCAAGTACTTTAAAAGGCAAGACCGTTCCAGCGCAAAAAAAAAAAAAAATCTGACCGGAGGAAAAGTAAAGAAATGATGGCATATTTACTATCATTCCACACCAGTAGAAACTAAAAAGTAAAGCGATAACCGGCACGATAAAAAAAATATAAAAAACCTTTCTAAATATCTTAAGTTTCCCAATATTCATCTACGAATGTTTACTGCTTGATGATATTGATCTCTGAGTGTATTATAATTATTATTTTCTCAATATAAACTAAAATTAGTTCATCTTGCTGAAAAAATAACCGTTCGGTTGATCGAATACACTTGATCAATTACTGCGGCCGTCCATGACCAATTAATTAGTCGTACAACATCGAGTCAATTTCTTAGTTTACAAAAAAAAAAGACCAATAAAACCGGAGTAAATTTCCTTTATAAAGAATATGATAGTAATATGATATTACAAAAATTGATATAAAATATTTACGTTGTATTATTTCTTGTCAGCAATAAAACCTTTTGAATTTATTTGTTTACATAAAATTTAAAAATACAATGATAAGAAAAATATTTTTTCTTAAAAAAAAACAAATAAATGACGATCGAATGTATTTACACATGATTTAGGTTGCGTAAATTGCGTAACAATAGATAAATATATCTATCAATCGATAAATATATAAAATAAAATTTTCACACGTACGAAAAATTAATTGTTACACGAATCGATTAAATATAACCCGATCCTTGTGTTTTTGTTTTATTCCTGTCTTATATTTCTCTTCTAATTTAATAGAATGAGTGAACAAAGTATAATTCTTTTCGGGCGTACCGGATATGGAAAGTCCTCTATTGCTAACATGCTGATTCAAGGTGATATTTATCAAAATAATAATAAGTTTACAATTAATGACAATGCGAAAGGAGAAACTTTAAATATATACACTGGCTATACGGAAAAATATCAAGTATTTGATACAGTCGGATTAGGTGAACCACTATCTCATATCGTTCCTCATAAGGAAGCTGTTAACAAAATAAGAGATTATTTTTCGAAATGTAAAGTAACTCTCAATTATATATTTTACGTTCAAAGGAAGGGTAGAATTACCGATGAAGATAAAAAAATGTTCAAGTTGTTTAAAGAGATCTTTGAATGGGCAGAAAAAAATATTGTTATTATCATTACTAATAGTAAACCGGAATGGATTGAGAAAAATTTGGAACAATTACTGAGGATTTAGGAAAATATCCAATTATTTCGGTTGATTTTCCCTTTACTGATGAAGATGAAGATGACATTATCGCTTGCAGCCATAGAAAAAAAAGAGCGCAAAGTCTGCAACGTTTAGAAGACAAATTGTTAGAATTGAGATACAAAAGTATTAAACCAGAGGTTCTCAGTTCAACACAAATGAACGAGAAAACTGTATCAAAAGTTGTTAGATTCGTTCCAGTTGTTGGTTCAGTATTTCAACTAATTTCTTCTGGTGTTTATTATGCGTTAGATAAACCAAATAACGCAAAAGAACGGCTTGTAGATGGGGCTGTTAGACTTGCTGCAGATGTTATAAGTATAGTAACTGTTGGAGCGAGTAAAAGTGCACCAACGGTAATTTTTAAGGAGTTATTAGTAAAGAATTACAGAAAATAATCAATAACAAATTTCCCAGTTCGAGTAAATAAGTATTTTTATAGTTCTTTATAATATATATTTCATTTTGCCTTAATTGATACACTTGATAGTTGGTATTTTTTATCACCTACAAATTATAATTTTTTTATTAATTAATAAAGTTTTTTTATTTTTATGTCCGTGAAGTGTATTTACTCAATTCATGATAATTTATAATTGCTAACATAATTTCTTACGAATTTAGTGGTGAGTGGTCGCTCCATTTATACATTTTTAAGTGCGGAGTGATTGAAAAAAATTTAAAATCGATCACGTTTAATTTCAACGTATTTATTCATTTTATTGGCTAAACATCACGTGATAAGTAGTATAAAAAATTTTTAAAATTCTCTAATGACACGAGAGTTTGTAATGGGGCTGAACTATTGATACATGTGATATCACGTATTTTGTTTACCACTGGTGTTACATCCTCCCGCGACGCGATATTTATTTTTGACATTTTTAACGAGCACATCAAAACTATTGAATCACGTGATAATAACATCAGTCCAATTTTGTATATATATACCATAGTATTTTTTTTCTCTTTCTAAATAAAATAATTTTTTTTTCTTTTATTTCAGCGGCTTAGTTTTCTTTGGGTCTTGGGTGAGGAATACCTATCGCGTCTTCACTTAGAAATGAACAGGAAATAGTCGAAATAAATAAAATATTATTTTTTTCTTTTATTTCAGCGACTTAGTTTTTCTTGGGTGAGGAATACCTATTATTTGTCGAATCTTCGCTTAGTATTTTTGGGTGAGGATACCTATTATTTGTCGCGTCTTCACTTAGAAATGAACAGGAAATAGTCGAACTCTTTTGGGAGCATGAACTGGTTGCTTGCAACACCCACGACCTTCGTTTTCTGATAGCAACGCCCTCGTGTGTGCAACCCTTCTCCATTTGGCGAAGCTGGTTGGTAACGCCTTTTCTTTGGGAGTATAAACTGATTGTTTACAACACCCACGACCTTCGTTTTCTGATGGTAACGCCTTCGTGTGTGCAACCCTTCTCTATTTGGCGAAGCTGGTTGGTAACGCCTTTCTTTGGGAGTATAAAACTGATTGTTTACAACACCCACGACCCTGTCTCTTATACACATCTAGATGTGTATAAGAGACAGCTATTGAATCACGTGATAATAACATCAGTCCAATTTTGTATATATATACCATAGTATAATTTTTTTTTCTCTTTCTAAATAAAATATTATTTTTTTCTTTTATTTCAGCGACTTAGTTTTTCTTGGGTGAGGAATACCTATTATTTGTCGAATCTTCGCTTAGTATTTTTGGGTGAGGATACCTATTATTTGTCGCGTCTTCACTTAGAAATGAACAGGAAATAGTCGAACTCTTTTGGGAGCATGAACTGGTTGCTTGCAACACCCACGACCTTCGTTTTCTGATAGCAACGCCCTCGTGTGTGCAACCCTTCTCCATTTGGCGAAGCTGGTTGGTAACGCCTTTTCTTTGGGAGTATAGAACTGATTGTTTACAACACCCACGACCTTTGTTATCTGTTGGTAACGCCCTCGTGTGTGCAACCCTTCTCCATTTGGCGATAACTTAAGGTTTTTCATGGAATTGGTTTTACAACACCCACGACCTTCGTTTTCTGTTGGTACGCCCTCGTGTGTGCAATCCTTCTCCATTTGGCGAAGCTGGTTGGTAACTTCAGGCTTTGTTTGCCACCGGTGGAGAAGCCGGTTGGTAACTCAAGGTTTCTCATGGAATTGGTTTTACAACACCCACGACCTTCGTTTTCTGTTGGTAACGCCCTCGTGTGTGCAATCCTTCTCCATTTGGCGAAGCTGGTTGGTAACTTCAGACTTTGTTTGCCACCGGTGGGGAAGTCGGTTGGTAACTCAAGGTTTCTCATGGAATTGGTATCACAACACCCACGACGATTCGTTTCCTGTTAGTAACGCCCTCGTGTGTGCAGCCCTTCTCCTTTTGGAGAAGCTGGTTGGTAACTCCAGGCCTCCGAATTAGTTTCTATTTTCTGCTTACTAACGTTTATTTATATTAAGATACTAGGACCTCTCTTACGTCTACGAAATTCCGTCTATGACAAATGTTTCTGATTGACCCCTTAAATATTAATTGGCTTGATTTTTCCAATCACCCGATATAGAAAGTAAATATATATGACATGCTTTCAAGGAAGGGAGTACTACGGATCCTAGGCCGTTTTAATGCGAGTTCTGCGTCATATTATTTTACTGCTCTCCAAATGTTTCCGAAAAATTCTACTGCTAATTTGTTCATATCACTATTATTGCTAACTACAAGACTTTCACTATCCCTTCTACAAACATCAGATTTCCGATTCCACCCATTAATCATTATATCACTCCTATTTCCCCACCCACACGGATTATGTAAGAATTATATTCCGCAAGAGAACTTTCGCGAGATTAAGTAATTTAGAAACTACCACTAAAGCATAAATTAAATTTGTGAGATTAGCAACTAAGGTAAAAAAAATAAGTAATGCAACGATTCATACTTACCACGATGATTCATTTTCATAACATTCCGTTCTGCCTCATATTTAAAAAATATGCGTTATAATAAAGGTATTTCGATTTTTTTATCGCAAGTTAAAAAAGCTAAATGGATCACAGAATATGTCAGCCGATTTTTAAATGAGGTAAAATTATTTATTTATTATTAATAACTATTAAGATATATTTAATTAATTTTAATTTGAATAATAGCTTAAAACACATTGGAAATTAAATTATTTACAAAGTGATTCTTTAAAATTTTATGAAATAACTAAAGACGAGATACTATTTTTTAAGCAATTTTACAACATTTTATGATATGATAAAATTAATTATTTATTACTTTTCAGCGTGGGACCTTGTATTAGTGGAAATTCTTATATATCAAGATTTTGGATTATCTGGACTATCAAATAAAACAAAAATTAGACAATAAGATACATGGTGTGTTGCCATATATATTGCCTCAAAGTTTTTAAATGTAGAACCATATACAAAAAAATTCTTTATTTGCTGATAATTCGGCAAACGCCAAATGTATTTAGAAATTTTGTCAATTAAATTTCTAACCACTGTATGATTAATCAAAATTTTATGCCTTAATGATTATGGTAATACTGAAGCTTTTATTGTAACTAATAATAATATTGTCTCATTATCACTCTACGATTTTAGAATATCAAAATATCTCAAAACATGAATTAGATTGTTTGAATTAATAATTCATCTTAAACAAACTTTTAAACGTCATTATAATATGTAATAGTTTTAAATTGTATTCTACTTTTTTTTTCAAAAACATAAATAAATAAATAAGTATATGTCATTAACATCAAAATTTATTGGAAAAAAATCTATTCATGAAAATTGATTTTATGGAATTTAATTTAAATAATGAATAATATAAGACTTAATAATAAGTTTTTCGTCAGTGTCAATTTTTCAAAAAATTATAATACTCATGAATAATCTTATTTATAACCGTTAAATACTGATAAATTTCATATCCTAATAAGATTTATTTACTGGTTTATTTTATGGAAAGTTTAGCAATTACATAGTATAAAAGGTATAAATATCCTATTAAGATACTTTCATAACGGACTTAATACCTGATGTTGATCTAGTATTTTGACGCAGTAAAAAAAAAATGATCCCACTGCTCGTTACACAACATGTTGAATCGAACAATATGAAAAAAAGTTTATTGTTCCGACGTAAATAAACTCTTCTGTCAACAATATTTAATCAACCAACTTAACAAAAATAAAATTTTAAATTATGAGATGTTGTGGAATTTGTAAAGAATGTGAACAAGAAAATACTGGATTTGAATGGTGTATTTCTTGTAATGCAATACATTTTAAACAAAATTTTAAAAATTGGACTAGTGGTAATGATGATATTGACAAATTAATTCAAGAAACTCAACTATCAGCAATTGATAGTTATAAAGTATTAGAATGGATACCTTACAATAAATTTTATGATATTGAATATGTTATAGAAGGCGGTTTCGGAAAAGTATATAGAGCAAAATGGAATGATGGATATATTGATAGTTGGGATGATAAAAATAATAATTGGAGAAGATGTGGTTCCAATGAGTTCGTAATTCTCAAAAGTTTAAATAATTCAGAAAATGTTACATCTAAATTTATCAATGAGGTAAAAACTATCTTCTTAGTATATATGATGACATTTTTAAATATGACTTTACTAATATGTATATTTATTTAGATTACAATGCGTTGTAGGACTAAAGATTTTATATTTTCTTCTGTCATTAAAATTTATGGAATTACACAAGATCCAGAAACAAAAAATTACATGATGATTTTAGAATATGCGGAGGGTGGAAATTTACGAAATTATTTAGATAAAAATTATGATAGAACAGATTATTATACAAAATTTAGTGATTTATATGATATTATATTTTGTCTTGAAAAAATTCATGGAAATGAACTAATTCATCAAAATTTACATATTGGTAATATATTAAAGTTTCAAGATTATTTCAATATAACTGACATAGCCCTATAAGAAATATGTATACGGAAAGGATACGTTTTGTATACATTTTTTGTACGTTTCTATAGATTCCGTATACAAATTCCGTATATTTAATAAGCAATTCATTTTTGAACATTTTTTAAAAAAACTAATGTATAAGAAATGTATATGGAAAAAATTAATCATGCGGAATGTATACGGAATTTTTAAACTTAATATTTTTAGAAGATAATTTTACAAAAATCCCGTATCATAACACGAGATCACATGATTGTTTATTGTTTTGTTATGATACGTTTTTTGTTTTTTATATAAACCCTTACTTTGATGAGTTTGATCTTCCTTTCTGTCTTTCCTTTCCTTTCTCTTTCTCTTGTCTTATTTTTGTTCTAAATTTTTCTTCTTTCTTCGTCACCCCCTTTTAAAAATAATTTTTTTTTTTCGTACCTCACTTTAAAAAAATTTTTTTTCGTCACTCTCCTTTGAAAAAAATTTTTTCTTTTATTCTCACTCTTCTTTTTTTTAAAAAAAATTTCTTCTTTCTATTTCTATTTCCTCTTTATAAAAAATTTTTTATTTTTCTAACTTTGACGTCCTCCCTTTAAAAAAAAATTTTTTTATAATTTTCCTAACTTCGTTACCCCTCTTTTTAAAAAAATATTTTTTTTGGTTTATTCTTTATTCCCCTTTCTTTTTTATTTATATTTAATTTCATAGGCCAGCAGATTTTTTTTTTGTGAGAATATTCAGTTTCTTTTTTCTTTTTTGTAGATCAGTTTGGGAGTCCTTT